TGTGTGTGTGTGTGTGTGTGTGTGTGTAACAGTAAAATGTAAATTATGTGCAAAACTATATTAGTTGTTGGAACTAAGTTGGAAAAATAAATGTGAAGGTTAATTAAATTATAAAATGTCAGGTAAAGCTCTCCTTTTTAAATTTAATTAGTGCATTTTTAATTGAATTTATTTATTGTTCCATTTACATATTTTTGCTTTTTTTTCTAGTTATGTCAGTTTGGGTCCTCCATACTGCAGAACTTGGAAGAGGTAATTTACTGTCTGAATCAGGTGTGTTGGACCAGGGAAAAACATAAAACCTGTGGCCCTCAAGGACCAGGATTGCCCACCCCTGCTCTAAAGTATGTAGGTTCATTCTTTGGTTTTTATCTTTCAAAATAAAAGGCGAAAAATGGAATAATTGAGTCTTTCTTTTTAGTTGTTTTGTTATAAAATTAAATTAGAAAAAYGACAAATGCAAAATAAAAAAGGTACATTTTTTTCACGATTTGCATGTGAGTTTTGCCCAACAAACCAAGTGTGTTGGAGCACAGTAACCTCTAAAGCAGTGGTCCCCAAAGTTGGGCTCAGTACCCACAGTGGAGTCCCGGAACATCAAGGTGGGGTCCTGAAAATATTTTCTGAATTAATTACACTAAAATATGACAACATACAACATTTTTTGCCTTTGTTGTTACAAAATAAGAAGATTAGTGTACTTAAAATGGACAAAAATAGCGTAATAAATAATGTCACTATGCTCTTGTTTATTTGACTTGAAAACAATGTTTATCAACTGACAACAGCTGGGGGCACAGGCCTCTGCTCCTGGTATTTCGTGGGTCGAAAGCTGAAAAGTTTGGGAACCACTGCTCTAAAGCACGCAGGGTAGCGGCCCTCGAGGACCAGATCTGGCCCACCCCTGAAACAAAACAACTTACTGTTTGAGCACTTTTGAGTTTAAACTGATAAAGCACCTCGCATGAGAAGCAAAATGTCTTCAAAAAACAAGAAATGAAAGGTGGGAACAAGAAGTTGCCTTAAAAAAAGACTGACTGAGGATCTGCACCAACAAATGAAGGAACAAATCAACCGTTTTGTGTTCCTGTTCTCCAGGGTACACTCACAACTTTGAGGGCATGTTTGACGGCTCCTCTCAGGACCCAGGCGCCATCGCTCTGGCTCTGTACTCCGCTCTGTTCTCCTACTCCGGGTGGGACACGCTCAACTTCGTCACGGAGGAGATCAAAAACCCMGAGAGGTGAGTGTTGTTAGCACAACTAGCCAATCACACAGAGCAGCTCAGTATTTGTTCCCACCTGTTCAGTTTTCTCTCATTTCTATGATGTTTTTACTTTAAATGAGCTGCAGGGAGAACAGGAAGCTTCAGTGTACATCGCTGTTATCTGCAGCTCAGAACCTGAAGTCCCAACAACACTGAGGTCATCAGATGGCAGCTGCTGCTGTCGTCACGTTCTGAACTCATCTTTAAAAAATAAACAACAGCAAAATATCTCATGAACCAGTGGATTAGTTGTAATTAAACTCTCAGAGAGCTCACTGGAACAGATTAACAWTTGGAGTCAGACCAATCCAAGATGGCCACCACAGCTAACTGACCTCMGCTAACCCAAAAGTGCCTATAACTCAGTCTTACAGATATTGAGCTAAAATTAAWATCATCTTTAGTGTTGTGCCTTATTCTTTTATGTTGTATCTTCTCAGAATGTTTTTTCTTTTATTTTATAGCTTGAAATTGTAAATGATTGTGTTTATCAAAGGGTGCACTCAGCCATGTCAATCAGCTGTTATCTGTGAGCCTTGACTTTCTTCTTTAAAAAAAAATTGGGTCAACATATCGTGACGTACATAAACCCTCTGATTACAGTTGTTCTTGGTTGCTTCGACACAGTGGTCCATTCAAACTCCACATTTTTAAAACAGTGAGCACATAGGACCAAACAGTGACTGGTGATTTCTGTTTGGTCACCAGAGGCAAAACAATGGAGTTAAAACTGCTAGCATCTGTGTTAACTGTTCTGCAAAAGAATGAAGAAAAATATGCCAGTCCAATGAGAAATTAACAAAGTTGTAAAAGGTGCTCTGTTGAATTAGTGATGATGGAAACTGAGTGGATCCCAGTTTCTTCAATTGGGTCAAAGCATCCAAGAAAAACTAACTGAAAGTGTGGATCGGATTAAAAACACATCACAACTCCACACTGTGGCATTAGATTTATTAAATGAAGCTAAAAAATTTGGCTATTTCCTAACTTAAATGTCCCTTTTAAACCACATCTGAATGCATAATATAGAATAATGGTTTGTTTTGTCATATTTTGATCATCATCTCAAAATTTTGTTTAAATAATTTGTTRCTTCATACTATTAATTAAACATACCAAGACCTAAATATACACTTCTCTTTGTGTGAATGATGTGTAATCTTGTTTACAGTTTTGCAGCATGTGAAGCTGTTTTGTTTTGTGTCAAAGTTTGAGTTTCAAGAAGAGAATTTGAAGTTTTAGAATAGAAGAATAGAAACAGCCTTTATTGTCCCGCGTGGGGAAATTCAGGTGTAGTAGCAGCAGCAGATACATACATCAATCCACAGAAACAGTTTTTTGCTATGTGACATTATCAACTGTAGCAATAATAATATAATTAAAAGTAGTAACAATAAAAAATAAACATAGAATAAAATAAGAATAAGAATAATAATTACTGTACTGGACTATCAAGATGAAATTAGATAGAAATTAGAATAAAAGCAAGATACCATGCAGAAAAAAAGTATGTAGCTTGATAAACTTGTATAGAGTTTTGGGAAAACAGAGGAAGGTTTTGTGAAAAGTGTTTTTAACAATAGTAAAAAACTAAATAATAAGACTAGAAATCAGAGTCTTTTCATTATGAGGTTATTTTTATTAAATGTCTCTTAGCTCTTTGTCGCCCTCTGCTGGTCGTTTCTGTGAACTGCAGGAATYTGCCTCTGGCCATCGCCATCTCTATGCCCATCGTGACGGTCATCTACATTCTGACCAACGTGGCGTACTACACCATCCTCCCCATCAACGCCATCTTGGACAGCGATGCTGTAGCTGTGGTACGCTTCTGTCATTACTGCTCAGTTCTTTTGTTCTTCAAGGCTTTAAAATCTGTCGTTTCTCTACAGACGTTTGCAGATAAGGTGTTCGGGGTGATGAACTGGACCATCCCCTTCGCTGTGGCACTGTCTTGCTTTGGCGGACTGAATGCCTCCATCGTGGCCGCGTCCAGGTGGGGGACGGGTTTGCTGCTTTATCTCTGAGTGTTGGAAGCAGGTGGAAGAGAGTCTGGAGAGGTGGAGGGGTGCTCTGAGGGGAAAAGCTGGGGTTAAAACATCTAAAATAACAAGACATGGTTGTTGGGATAGGGTGAGAYGAAATGGAAAAGAAAAATATCATCCTCACCACTTTCTGTTTAAAGGCTGTTCTTCGTGGGCTCCAGAGAGGGCCACCTGCCCGACTTCCTGTGCATGATCCACGTTCACCGCTACACCCCCATCCCYGCCCTGCTCTTCAACGTCAGTCTTCATCACCCGTCGTCTGAACCGTCTAATGGACAGCCACGCCCAGATATCTTGGCCTCACTCGTTTCGTTTCTTCTTCTCTGCAGGGCTTCATGGCTCTTATATACCTGTGTGTGGAGGACGTCTTCAGGCTGATCAACTACTACAGCTTTAGCTACTGGTTTTTYGTTGGTTTGTCCATTCTGGGGCAGCTTTATCTGCGTTGGAAACAGCCGGACAGAGAGAGACCCCTAAAGGTACGTTCATTTTAAAGATRATTGACTTTGTTTTAAGGGTCATGTTCGACAAATTTGTTGAAAATTTTCTAGTATCTTGGTTTAGAAACTGGATCTAAATCTCTCAACAACGGTTTCATCCATAAACATTTTACCTCCTSCCCTCCATTTGAAATCGCGCTTCTCTGTTAACATTTCCCTCTGTTGCTTCCTTTCACAGCTCAGTCTGTTCTTCCCCATCGTCTTCTGCTTCCTCACCATCTTCCTGGTGGTGGTACCACTGTACAGCGACACCGTCAACTCCCTGATCGGCATCGGCATTGCCCTCTCCGGCGTGCCCGTCTACTTCCTCTGCTGCTACACGCCGGCCTCCAAGAGGCCCGTGTGGCTGCGCAGTTTCATAGGTGAGTCACATCTTTCTACTGGGAGTCACAGGAGAAAGAAAGTATCGCTGYCAGTTTCTCACGTGGTTGTAGAGTTTTGGCCCACTCTTCTTTCCAACGTTGCTTCTGTTCATTGAGGTTTTTAGACTTTTGTTTCAGCTCCATCCTGTAAAGGTCCCACCACAGCMCTACAGTCAGGTGGAGGGCTGGACTTTGGTCCGTTGAAACACGTTTATTTATTTATTTTTCATTTATTTATTTTTGCTCTGTAGTAAATTTGCTGATGTGTTTGAAATCATTGTTCTGATTTGTATCCATCCCAACACGTACTTTTCAATAATCTTTTCACTGACAGTCTCTTAAACGGGGGTGAATGACTGCAATCACTTTTTRAACATTACATTTTCATTCTTTTAATTGGTTTTACTTTGTGGAAATTCATTTTAACACTGAATATATTTTTAAAACCTTTTGTAAAGACGGCCAATAGCGGTGAACATGGTTCTGCTAATTATCTAACAGCTAATACCAGAACTAAGTTTTCATTTAGCGGATTAGCTTTTTCACTAACTAAAAATGTAGCTTCACTAATGCTAAACTGCTAGACATGTAATAAAAATGAGCTGAAGTTAACGCAAACAGCTAATAGCTAACCGCTAAAATAACTGTCAGTCAGTCTGCGTCACACGTCTTTGTTTCCCTCCAGTTGAAGACTGGTGAAAACCTTTTTTTTTTAGCTGTTAGCGGACTTAGGCCCTGTCCCAATACCCACACTCCCACCCTCGTTCTCTTGTGCACTTCAAATGTGCGTTCATGTTGAAGGTTTTGAGTGCGTAGTGTGTCCCACGTTCTCCACATCCACCCTTCGCCCCGCCCATTTTGGGTACTATTTCCACCCTTCCGTGAAGTCCACATTTTACGGAATTCAGTGAAGTGTATTACCCACAATTCATTGCTGCATGTGACGTCTGGAATTAAAATGCAGA